AATAATATAGCCCAATTTATAACATAATTATTTCGAATAATAACATAATAAATAAAAAAAAATAAAATAAAAAATAAAAAAAATTGCCGGCCGGCCGGCCGAACCGGACGGACCGGTTCCGACCGGCCGTCGGTTCCGGACGGCTTTCTTGCCGTCCGGCCGGCCTGTCCGGACACGGCCGGTCCGACCGGCCATGCTTTCCGGACGGTCTTTGAACCGTCCGGACGCCGGTTCCGGACGGTCTTTAAGCCGTCCGGACGCCGGTTCCAGACGGGCTTTAAGCTGTCCGGAACCGGCGGCCGGACACGTATTTTTTCATAAATTGTCTGATATGTTTAGAAAAAATGAGAAGGGCAAAATTGTCCAAGGGGGGCGGTGAGTAGTAAAAGGGGGGCGGTGAATAGTAACACCCATAAAAAATTGAAAGCTCGTAAACAAGAGAGCAAACAAATGCACCATAACAATGACGCGAATCTGTTGAGAACAAACAAATAGCAACCCTCTGTACATCTACTTGACTCTTAACAAGGATAAAACACAGCTGCATAATGTGAAAAAACATTAAAAAAAAAAAAATGGAAGCCATATATACATGGACAATGCTCAAAATATACAAAGCTGCAACCAGCTTGTAAGGTAAATTTTACCGAAGCCCGACTCAGATGCCGCTCAGAGATCTGCTAAATGTGCTCAAAACAATAAAGCACCAAAACCAAAAATTAAAAGAATAGGTCCGAGTCCCATCCCACCTCCACAGCAGCCTAATTGAAAGAGAAAACAATCGTAAGTTTAAGCAAAGCTAATTGTGAATTCACAGGTAATTGTAATATCCAGCCGGTAAGTAAGAGCCCAAACATAGGGAAAATCAAAAGTTTAGAAAAAAAAAAAAAAAAACATTATAAGATGAAAGATTGTAATCTCTAGTCATTGTCTGGTTTCTAGTGTTGAGCCTCACTGATTATAGAGTCATGATTACTAAGTAGAAAAAGGAATTTAGGAGATAACTGCAAAATATTAACCTTCAGAGTCGAGATTTAATCCTAATCACAAGAAAATAATATATTTCTCGAGATACCCAATATCTCCTCAGACAGATGTTTCTATTTTACAAATAGCAGCACTAAAAACATTAATAATGCTTGATAGAGTACGCACCAGGGTTGCCCAGATTCCGTGATGTAGGTAGTGCAGGCAAGGACATCTCTGAATATATTCAAGATAAATTTATCATGAAAAGTTCGTCCAAACTACTAAAAAGTTGAAATAAGAAATAAAATAGGGAATAAAGGGCTTTCGCAATACCAGGAGCACAAAGAGACATTGATGTCATGGAGGATGATAATGGCCATGGAGCTTCAATATTGTCCGTCAAATCACAGTGAAAGCTGAAGCCTGATGAATTATCATAAACCATATCCGCAGGGAGGCTAGGGAGTAAACATCCTGCAAAGCAGGTTCAAAAAAGTTTACCATATTATGTGTGTTTCACAATTATTCAGAAGTACTAATCAAGCCAAAACCACTTAGAATTCAATATGATATCGAAAAAATGCAGCCAGTGTATCTCTTTCAGGAGCCGGACAATGAATCACATAAAATCACAAAACAGACAAGATTGGAGGAACTAGTTTATAATATGAGATTATGTTTACAATGCAAAACATTGATTTAATATAATCATGCACCAGCCAACATAATTTACACGAGGTAGAAGATACAAATTTGTGCCCCAACCCAAATTTAATTATGGTTGGAGGTATTTGTATTTATTTTTAAATACTATTGGAAGTTATTGGTGATCTAATTGAACAACGTTATTACTGTCATTGTATTGCCTATATTACCACATATTATTTGATGTTAACAAACGTTTTGTACACGGAGAGAATTTATGTTGGTTAACTGCCCACAACATAATAACATCAATCAAAATGTGTGATGCAGACAAATCATACCCTTAATGTAACATATTCTAACATACTGTCTTTTTTAAGGGAAACTAAATAATTAATAACAAGGTGAGCTCCAATTTATTGCATCTCACTAGAACAGAAACCAAAGTAGATACATCTCGGGCATCTAGTAAAATATATCACAATTGACTAGCTTTACGTACCTTCTTGTCCATATGCTGCTCCAGCAAGTATCAAAGGACACAACAATTAGTAAAGTTGATCAGCAGAACACCAAAATATTGACAAATAGGAGATCAAATTGGAGATCACAACAATTTTACCTTGTAGACTAAAATCTTTTATGTCCACATCACAAAGCTCATATACATTTGCCATCACACCACCCTTCCTCAACATGTGGCCTAACATGGTCGCGCATAATATTGCTTGCCGATTTGTTATTAGCATTTGCTTCTGTATACCGGTTATGTAACTATTTAGGGATCTACAACATGAAGGACTTGGGGCAGCAACATTGAGGCATTCGGCAATTACTTCTGATGGTTGTCTTAACTCCAATGGACAAGCTGCACCCATAGGAGATAATATTCGCAGGTTACAGCAAAAAATAAAAATTGGACGATGGAAAATATAATAGTGGCTGATGCTCGTGAACAGAAAACTTACAAGACGCCTTCACTAAATTTTATATTGTCTTTATACAAGTTAGGTATATAAAGTTTACTGTTTACAAAATGCACGTGGTAGGCTTTCCAGGTGTATGTTCGTATGAAGAAATAGTTACTACCAATTAAAGCACCCATACCTCGAATATAGTGATTAAATGAATAAGAAGGCATTCATGAATGACACGTTCTTTTCGATAAGTAATTAGATTGCAATAATCTGGGGCCAAATGAAACCAAATATGGAGATCGATTTGATTTGGATTCATTTGTTGATTTCATTTGACAGCAAAATTCGACTTCCTTCCTTTTGGAGTTAATTTATATTTTAAGCGATCAGCTTCAATTGGTTTCTTCCCTTTCATTAATAAGACGAGCAATAATTACGAGAAAATGAGAAGAAGGGAAATTAAGTTGTATTCCCAATTTGTGCATTTTATTCTCAAAACCCATACATTCATCTTCAGCAAAGCATGGATAACGTAAAATTCATTCTACAACAACTTCAATAGCCCATTTGATGTGAGCCTTTTCAAAAGAACATATAAATTAAAATTAAGGCAGGAGACTTGCAATTCATTCTAAAATGTACTCATGCCATTTGCGACACTAGTTCACTCTTCCAGCTATCACATAAGAGATTCGATGAGTGTAATGAAGTTTCACTAATAACTTGACACCATGAAACATACAAATCTGAACACAAGCAAGCCACAGACCATATAAAATTTACAGTCAGTTCTGTCAAGGATGACTCAGAGAAGTAGCCAAGAAAAAGAAAATGTGAAGGCACATAGAGTCACACGTATAATCATGTTGACACATATGATAGGCATTTCTTGCAAATATACTTAATATCTACAACATATGTGTGTGTGTGTGTGTGTGTGTACATGTAACACTAAGAAACATTAATTATCTGAATTTCTATGTTAACATATTAAAACGTAAAAATATAACTCCAAACGATAACTAAATCAACCAGCATGCTTGAATTTTTCTAGCAAGATTTCCTTTGTTACACTTCATGAAATGCAATAGATCAATAGATGTGATTATATGAAGAAATGCATTAATCCAAAAGCCATAAAGTATAATGTCTTATATGTACAAGACCCAAAAGTAGCTTAGCATCAAATTCAATACAAACAGACCTTTATTAACTTTGCAGGCAGACAATATCCGGAATGCACTGTTTGCGGAATCACGAGAAAGTTTCCTTGAAATCCATGAAAAGACCACCCCTTTGCAATCATTAACCAAATCAAAGGGATTAGACAGCCCAACTGCATTCATATTATCGTTCATATATGATCGGACTCCTGACAAATTAAGTGCAGCTTCCATAACAACAGGATTGCAAATTGGTCGACAACATTCTTTAAGAGGATCAATTGTACTGCAAGCATCCAATAATTTGCTTGTGTTCACTGTTCTCTCAAAAGTGGCTACATCCTTCACAGGACATGAGCCGCCAGTCAGATTTGAAGATCTAATGGAGCATATAGTTGATATTGAGCTGTTTGCACCTCTGCTGGCTAATATACTGACAATATCTTTAAAGCAATCATCTGCAGCTGCATTTTGTAAAACTAAATTATCAGAATCGGTACTATAGAACCCCTTGAATATGTGGAGCAAGCTACTAAGTTGTGGGCAACATATAACATTTGCAACTACTCCTGCAAACGGCTGGGTGCAGTCAGATGCCGTTTTTTCCATGACACTTGAAATGACAGAAAAGTTTACAGGGCATCGTCCAGTCAAAATGGGCTCATAGGTACTAGGATAGGTGGGGTACATTGGAGGCAAGTCGGCACTTGGAATTGGAGTACGTGGAATAACAGCCGGTGATATTTGAATGGGTTCAAAACTCCTACTTCCTGGTGAACTAGTTAGCATAAACGCTGACGGAAATTGACTGGGATCAGATTGAATCGGCAGAGGCAGCACATTCTCAAAACTATACATCCAGATAGTAAATCGTACTAAGTAATGAAACCAAGAGCCTGCAAATTTATAAATCACATATTAATTAAATAATCAGAACATGGTAATTGAATTAGTGCGTAACACGTTAAGATGTTTATGTAAGTATAGCACAAAATGAATATCCAAAGAATTGCACAAAAACTATTGGACAGAAAATCCATATATGACATATTGAGGGAAATCACGAAACATCACAAACTGTGTTAGCATTAACAAACAGCAAGCAAGCTTTAAAACTTCGGGGTGGAGTGAAGGGAAAGGGATCTCTTACCCTTGAGCCAAGTAGTAGTTCTTCCACAATCCATAACGCCCACTAGCCGTCAGGCAACATGGAGACTTGTTACACAACCCCAAAGGGTGATCAACAGCTAGAATCTGGAGGTAGTGAACTCAGTAAGCTAATACATGTCATGGATACCGTTTTTTAGTATAAAATTAAATACAATTAAAAATGAAATAGGATGCAGATAGTAGAGAACAGATGAAAAATTGGAAACAAAACAATCCTAATGTCCAAAATTTTCCATTTCAAGAAGAAAATTACACAATGTCTGCTCCTATTCCTGCTTATACAATAGCTATAACACCATCTTCTACATTGTTGCCATCAAATTTAACAGACCAGCAATCAACTGGTTACAAAACCATATCAAAGATGGAAACATATTATCCTTTTGGCACTCTCTCTCTTTCTCTAACTAAAATTTACCCAAACAAAGACCCAAACGGCACAACTATACAATCTAATTCGAAGTCTCAATTAGCATCTGAATAAATTTACACCGATCCCTAATCATCAAAACATAGACCTCGCATCAACTATCCAAAACTCATAAAGAAAGTCCAAAATCGAGGTAAAAGAAATTAGCTTCCTGTCCAACTATCTGTAATCCACCGTAACCCCCATGTTTGCCCAGCAAAATCAGGACCATTAACAGCCAAATTAACAAGATGCCAGTACAATACCCACATTCGACAACCCAAACAAAAAACAGAACTAAAAATGTGGCTTGAGGGCTCAGTGAGATCAAACCCTAAACGCGGAGCATAATGATTCACCACCAATTATAACCAGCGACGAGTAACTCAATGCATACGCACACAGAAATAACCAGAGCAGCGTGTCTTGCGAGAGCCCGGTGAAAATAGAAATGGGTTTAGAACGGTACCTGGGAAGTGCAAACCCAGATAAATACCGAGATCACTTGCCATTAGTGAAAGCAAATTCAGAGCTCAAAACAATTAGTAACGAGGTCTATGTAGAATTTAGCTGGATGGGATTCTGGTATTGAGTGGCAAAAAGAAGAAGAAAAAAACAAGAAACCCTAAAAGGAAGTTTTGGGAAAGTTGAAGCTGAATGATTATGGGGATAAAGTGTGAGAGAACTGGAGCTCTGCCTCGTTACCCATGTCTTTTGGCCATTTGCTTTACTAACTCTGTTATTTTTCCCCTTTTTTTTAACTTATGGTTGATTTTTTTTTTTTTTTTTTTTGTAAATTTTAGGGAAATTTTATGCTACGTGATTTTAACTTAATTACAACTCTACCATATCTATATTAATAATTGTGTCTTTATTTAAAACACTTTATTTATTTATATTAATGCCTAAATCATTTATCATATTCTTTCAATCTTCATTCCCCTTTTTATGGGATTAATTAAGAGAGAAAAATGAAAATATGCTTATAATAACTCCTTTATTTCTTGATTCGCGCACCTTTGACGTTTTTTTATAGAGAGAGATAAAAACATGTATTGTAATTCACGCAGCTGTCCAGTGGGTATATGTTGAGTTTATGTTAGTATATATTCAGTATATGTTGCAATTTCATCAAAAAATTATGTCTTTTTTTTTTTTTTACTTTTATACATAAAAGTATATATATATAGTTTATAAACATATTATAACATGTTACTTATATTTCATATACCAAAAAATCTTCTAATATACTGAACATATATTCCCTGTACACACAACATATACCGAACAATTTACAAAAAAATCTTCTAATATACTGAAAATATACTCTCTATACACACTACATATACTGCCTGTTTATACACACAACATCCAACATATATTGTCCTTAACATATACTATACATATACTGTAGATATGCTCCAAAATAAATCAAACGAAAAAAATTCTCAAAAAAGTTGTTGTGATTTTCTTCTTCTTCACGACCTCGGGTGTTTTGACCTCGCTCAACCTCTTCGTCTTCTTCTTCGCTAATTTCAATTTCAAACTTGAACTAATTAACATCTACGACACACGCAGCCATCGTCGAGGATCTCCATCCGCGAGTCACCGAACACGCAAGGCTTGCAACCCCCGCGAACCACCGCCGACGTCCGTTTACTTTTATCCTCCCAATCGGTTATTAAAAATTCGGGCCTAGTGAAAGTCGACACGACGAAGAGGCTGTGGGAAANACAGAGAAAAATTCTACCTGTAGGGGAAGAGGAAATATAAGCATAAATTGTAAGAGGAAGAAGAAAAAGAAGAAGAAGAGAGAGAAGGAGGAGAGGGAGAGAGAAGACGAAGAGAGACGAGGAGAGAGAGAGAGACAAAGTGCATATTTAATTTCAATTAAGGATTTCATTAGTATTTAATAAGCCAGAAAAAAAGAAAATAACAGTTACATCTTTATGTTAAGTATAATTGAAATATTTTTAACTTGATTAGGTAATTTGATAAATAAGAATATAAGGAATATATAAATGTAATAAAAGTCATAACTTGAGATAAGGAGTGCAAATTCCTCTAAATTTTAACGGCCATTTCTAGTTGGATCATGTTGATTCTGATGCCTTGTTATAATTTATAAAATTATAAGGTCATTTTTTACTAGATAATTTTTCTAATTTAAAATCTAACTTAAATTAACTTAATCTAAATCTTCTTGATATTATCAATATTGATACGGGACACTACACTGGGTTAACCGAACCGATGAAACCAAATAGCTAGACCGGATTGACACAGCAACTTGAGTCACGATCGTAGATCGACCTGAAGGCAAAGACAGGCAAACGGTAACCTGAAAGGAGCAGCTTACTCCACAAGATGAACTGACACCGTGCTCGACCTAAGGGATCTGTTTCGACCTCATGAGCAATAAATGAATTGAAGAAGAAGAAGAAGAAGAAGAAGAAGATGTTCTACCTAATGTATTTTCTACCTGGTAACGTGGATCGGGTCCCATGAACATGATAAAAAGGCATCTAACTCGAGGATAGCACGTGTAGCAACGAGATTGGGTCGTCTGCACACCTGACAAAGTCTGACCGCCTACAACACTGTGCACCGTACTGACGGGTAGCTCGGGCAACAGGGTCAACCCTCCGGGCTGTTGATGTACTTTGTCCCCACTATACAAAGTATATGAACATCAACAAAGTATAGGCTAGTTTCATTTTCACATTCTCTATTCACTATCATATACTATAGAGAATGTAAAAATGAAACTAGCCTATACTTTGTTGATGTTCATCACCTTCATCCATATACTGATTTAGGCATCGGAGGCTCTTCGCCAGAAAAATCTTCTTTCATGTGTTGAATTCTTGTAGATTTGGAGGCCATTCGATGTAGAAAAAAGCAAATCCTTATTGTGTTCATCATCTACATTGTCCACTTCTGGTAGAACATCCTCCTCTACACTATATGCATCACATAAATCCATATCCCCACAATAAGGCAAAGGCTCATCTATGACAGGAAGTTCTGAAAATATCCCTTTCTCTATCTCATTTTCATGTTCAACAATCATCCTGTTCTTATCAACCCACTAAACCATGTTGCAAACATCATTATCAGTTTCTAGGATAAAAAGGTCATTGCATTCATAGATTTCAGTTTTACTACAGTAAAATGACTTAATCATAGATACATCAATATCCTTAGCCATACACTGAAGCTCAACCAATGTTATTTCACTAGAATCACAAAAATCAATATGAAATATACCAAAATTCGGGCCCATGTAATGGGTACCGCTTAGGTTAGCAAATGAGCCATTGTGATAGAACTTAATTGTAAATAATGTGGAGTTAACACCTGTAAGGAAAAAAAAAATCAACACCTTGATATGAACTTTTTCAAAAATCATAAATTGGTCGAGAATATTTTCAGGATGTTTCAAGCAACTGAAAGCAATTTCTCCATGTCTCAATCAAACACAAGAATCTCATAACCCCAAACTCATTTACAAAGGCACAAGTACATACAACAAATGATCACAAAATGCAGTATTTAAACACAAAAGCATTAATAATTAACTACAACCAACTCACTGTAATCTGGGGTCATTCTATCGGAGGGAATGTCAGTCTGTTGGTCGCAAATCTTCCAACCCATTTTTGGGTTGCAGAATGCCAAGCTCGAATTTTGGGAAAAAAAGGGCAAAAATTTGCCCAGGTTTTACCTAAATCGTGTCTAATAACTTGAGTATTGGGTGAAAGGACAATGATGCCTTATAAATTAAGTGATATGACCAAAGTGCCCCTTAATAATCTGGTTTTTAGCGTGCCCGATTGATTTTTCGGGAAATTTTATGGTCTCCGGCAGGATGGAGTTGCTTTTTCTCAAAAGTGATTAGTTCAGGTTGGTATTTATCAAAATAAAAAGATTATGTTGCATTTTTGCACAACACGCAGAGATCATGTTGGTCTAAATTTTTTTTCATAGTTAAAATTATGTAAATAGATGAATAGTAAATTAGAGTTGATATGATACGTACGAATGATTGAACGGTATTTATAGGTGGCAAGGGTCGACCCGGCCCAGAACCGTCCCGGACCTATAGGTCTTGGAACCGGACCCGTGACAAATTCTTTTTTTATCCGCCGGTTCTGGGTCTAAAGACGGGTCCTAGTTGTTTTTTATTTTTATTTTATTAAAAAAGTCGATGGTTATTAGAAAAAATCGGGTCGGTCCGGTGAAACGACACTTACATATAGCCGGGCCGATTCCGGGTCCAATTTTTTAGGCGAGCCAGGTCGTGAACCGGCCCGCTATTCGGTCACCCTTAAGTATTATTTAATTATATTGATATTATTGAATATCATGAGGTTGAATTAAAGTTGATCTGCCGGTTCTGGGTCAAAAGACGGGTCCTAGTTGTTTTTTATTTTTATTTTATTAAAAAAATCGACGGTTATTAGAAAAAATCGAGTCGGTCCGGTGAAACGGCACTTACATATAGCCGGGCCGATTCCGGGTCCAATTTTTTAGGCAAGCCAGGTCGTGAACCGGCCCGCTATTCGGTCACCCTTAAGTATTAATTAATTATATTGATATTATTGAATATCATGAGATTGAATTAAAGTTAAGTTAGATTTTAAATTGGAGTGAATATGAATCGAAAGTTTTTATATCCAAAACAATCCCTAAATGACTAAATCTAATAAAGCAAGAATATGTAATAGTATTATTCAGTTGGTGAAAACTAGTACGAATCTCGTGCGATACACGGGTAAGAGATGTTCATTAATATTTATAAATTAAAAATGTTTATTACATAATATTTAAAAACAAAAGTTTTGGAATCAATATATAATACAATTTACCTCTATTATTTTTTTGAAAATGTTACATGAAATTTAAATTATACAAAATTATGTAAAACATGTCTATTTAAAATTAAACATAATCCGTATGGTGCACTTAACTAATACTAAATTATATTATATGCATTTCAAAATAAGTTTCATTTTTAAACTTTTATTCATAAATTTGATTTGACTACAATGTGATTCCACAAAATAAATAATTTGCTAAACTTGTATCGAATATTAAAAACTTGTGAAAATAATAAGTAAAAATATAAAACTTATAATATTTCATTAATTAAAATAAATTTATGTTTGTATAAACTATCCAAATAGGTAAGAGACATTCATTAATATTTATAAATTAAAAATATTTATTAAATAATATTTAAAAACAAAAGTTTTGGAATCAATATGTAATACAATTTACCTATATTATTTTTTTGAAAATGTTACATGAAATTTAAATTGTACAAAATTATGTAAACATGTCTATTTAAAATTAAACATAATCCGTATGGTGCACTTAACTAATAATAAATTATATTATATGTTTTTCAAAATAAGTGTCATTTTTAAACTTTTATTCATAAAATTGATTTGACTACAATGTGATTCCACAAAATAAATATTTTGCTAAACTTGTATCGGATATTTAAAAACTTGTGAGAATAATAAGTAAAACTATAAAACTTATATTGTTTCATTAATTAAAATAAATTTATGTTTGTATAAATTATCCAAATGGGCAAGAGATATTCACTAATATTTATAAATTAAAATTATTTATTAAATAATATTTATAAACAAAATTTTTGGAATCATATGTAATACAATTTACCTATATTATTTTTTTGAAAATGTTACATGAAATTTAAATTGTACAAAATTATGTAAAACATGTCTATTTAAAATTAAACATAATCTGTATGGTGAACTTAACTAATAATAAATTATATTATATGCATTTCAAAATAATTGTCATTTTTAAACTTTTACTCATAAATTTGATTTGACTACATTGTGATTCCACAAAATAAATATTTTGCTAAACTTGTATCAAATATTTAAAAAATTGTAAGAATAATAAGTAAAACTATAAAACCTATATTGTTTCATTAATTAAAATAAATTTATGTTTGTATAAACTATCCAAATAAAAAAAATAAGTAGTTTAATATTTATTAAACTATAAATAATTGACTATTCCATTTACGTCAAAGTTAATACTGACCCGTTAGTTATGAATAATTATTTATTTGATTTTTAAACTTGAAACCTAAATTTTAATTACAGAATAAATTACTTATATTTATATATATATATATATATTGTTTTGTAATTTTCTAAATTTGTTGTTGTTTACCTTATTGTTCAAATTTATCAACTTAATTAAATTATAAATTATGAATTTTATTGACCAATATTTGTTCAAAGATCATTTTGATTTTCAAAAGGAATACATTCTATTTTAAAAGGACATACTAAGCAGATTAGCATTTCAAATATTAATGAACTAAAATCCCACAAATTATGTACATTTAATTAAATAGGATATAATTGTAAAAAAAATCCTACATTGACACGAATTCTTAAATTAGATACAAAATATTCTACCCATTTTCTATCCATTGATTGCAAATTAGCTCCGAAATTACATGATGATCTTTTTGAATTAGATAGGAAATATTCTACGAATTGATCGCAAATGACTTCCAAATTTATAGGATAATCTTTCTCAATGTTATATATAATAAATTGATTATTCAATTTTTTAAGGCAGAATTTTTTTGAAAATTTTCAAAAAACATTACAAAGTTTAGCAATTTTAAAATTTTAGGTGGGATTATAATTTCTATTTAAAGTAAANCAGGGGGCGAATCAAATGCGTCCAGGTCTTAAAATGCGCCCAGCTCTTAGCAACTACAGATAACTAACCTAGCAATTACAGAGAACTAACCTTGCAACTACAGATAACTAACCTAGCTACTACTAACCTAACAACTACAGAAAACTAACCTAGCAACTACTAACATAGCAACTACAGAGAACTAACTTAGCAACTATTGAGAACTAACCTAGCAACTACAGAGAACTAACCTAGCAACTACAGAAAACTAACCTAACAACTACTAACTTAGCAACTACAGAGAACTAACTTAGCAACAATAGCGAATTAACCTAACAACTACAGAGAACTAACCTAGCAACTAGTAACCTAGCAATTACAGAGAACTAACCTATAGCAATTACAAAGAACTAACTTAGGAACTACAGAGACCTAACCTAACAACTACAGAGAACTATCCTAGCAACTACATACAACTAATCTAACAACTACAGAGAACTAACCTAGCAACTACATAGAAGAGAAAAATTCAAAATTAGTCCCACAGATATAGGGGGTGACAATTTTGGTCCCGACGGAATGCACAAAATATGAATAGTCCCACAGCTTTTAAAAAATGATCAAAAGGAGGACTTTTTCGCCGGATTTACTATTTCCGGCTTATTTTTTACATGCTGGCATCCGACGTAGATAGGAAAAAATTCAAAACTAGTCCCACAAGTATAGAGGGGTGACATTTTTGGTCCCGATGGAATGCAGAAAATTCAAAACTACTCCCACAACTTGTAAAAAAAAATGAACACGTCGGATGCCACGTGGCGTTCCGGGCCGAAAATAGTAAATCCGGCGAAAAAGTCCTACTTTTGACCATTTTTTAAAAGCTGTGGGACTATTCATATTTTCTGCATCCCGTCGGGACCAAAATTGTCATCCCCCTATACCTATGGGATTAGTTTTGAAATTTTGCCTTACATAGAACTAACCTAGCAACTACAGAGAACTAACCTAGCAACTACAGAGAACTAATCTAGCAACTACATACAACTAACCTAGCAACTATAGAGAACTAACCTAACAATTACAGAGAACTAACCTAGTTGGAAGGTTAGTTCTCAACGGTCAACGCCGGAAGTCAACGGTCAACGCCGAGTCAACGGGTCAAAATAATATTTAAACAATTAAAATAATAAAAAGAAAAGAGTAAATCTTGGCCACACATGATGTACCAAATCTTGTGGCTAGGAATGAATCTCACGTCTACACTTTAAATAAGTGGATGCATTGGAACCAATCCCTATATATATATATATATATATATATATATATATATTTAGGTTGTTGTCCATTCCCTTCCTATTTGGTGTAAAATGAGCACTTTCCGGAAGCTTCTCGAAAAGTAAGCTTCCTTATCGTCGATATTTCTATAATTGTAGTAATCTTTGCACAATGAATAAATCAATCGAATTTACACAATTTATGTAATTAAAGTATAGTAAAAATGCATTTTGCAAAAGAGTTACATGAAAAACATAAAATACTTATTAAATAATATTAAATTGCACGATTTAATTGGAAATTTTTTAGAAAATTATATAATTGATATTGTAGCCGAAATTCCCATAATTTGGTAAATCAACCAAATTTATATGATTTGAATAATTAAGGTATCTTAAAAATGAATTTATTTATGGCTTAATTATTTCCTTAAATAATGAGCCGCAACTTACATAAGTGATTATTTGAACTATACCAAAAAGTGTTAAATTAATTTCTTAAAATAGTAAAATTTTTTTCTTAGAGAAATAGACTGTTTAAAAAATAATCAATCATTATATATAGATACGGTAAAAGGCACGTGCCTAAATCTAAAGCAAGAAGATTTTATAGGATTCTGGACATCCGATAAGCAGCCATCACTGACCAAGTTGCATTTGGGTCAATAAATTCTCACTCGAATATGCGCACCTCTTGTTTTCTTATCTACCCATTCTCTTCATTTTTCACACAAAACAGTGTAAATCTAAACTGTACATAGAATTGTCTACCACAACAATCATATCCATCAAAATGAAGGTAACCATACTCACCAAGAAATACATCAAACCTGCCACCCGAACCCCTCCAAACCTCAGGCGCTACAAATTATCCGCCTTAGATGAGCTCATACCACCCATGAACATGAGCGTCATTCTCTTCTACCCGCCAAACCCCAAACCCGACACGAAACCCGAACCGCAACAAACCCTCCCTCATATCCTCACCCGATTCTACCCTTTCGCCGGACGCTACCTCCAAAACAACCTCTCGATCGATTGCAACGACGAGGGCGCCGAGTTCGTCGAGGCCGAGCTCCCCGGCCTCGACCTCGCGACCTTTCTCTCGAAAACCGAGAAAGACGGCCTCGACTGCCTCCTCTCCCGAACGACCTACGAAGCCGACAATCCCGACGACCCGATACTCTCCGTTCAAATCACGAATTTCCCCGAATGCGGCGGAAGAGCTGTCGGCATCAGCCTCTCGCACCGAGTTTCCGACGCGTCCTCGCTCGGGACGTTCGTCTCCGCATGGGCCCACGCAGAAAAAAAAACCGTCGTCCCGACTTTCGAAGGGACGTCGATTTTCCCCAGCACGGGCCTCGCACCGCAGCAGCGCGTCCAGGGGCAGACGCAGACTCGCAAGACTGAGGGGGCACAAACGTAACTTTTACAAAGTGCAAAAAAAAAAAATATATATATATATATATATATATATATCACTCGTAATTACATAAATTCAAATCTCATTATATTTATCTTTTTCAAATACCAATATTTTTTTTCTTTTGCATTGGATATATTCTTACAACGTCAACAGTCTTGGACTTTCTTTACAATAAAAATAAATATTTCATAGTTAAAAAATCAATGACAAACACAATTCAGTAGCTAATTATTCCCAACTTATAATTATAATTTTAACAACACCTAAAATTTAATATGCATCAAAATCAATGTTGACGTTTGTGGAAAATCGATTTAACTCATTTATACATGTTGCATACACAAAATACAAATACAAAATGCAAACAACTTAAATTTTTTTAAAAAAAATCTCCCTATAATTATCTTATAATATAATTATGTATATATATATATTAATTTTTTTTTTTAAAAATTGCACAGGTCCGCCGTTGGGAGTGTCGCGGTCCGCGGGCTCCGGTTCGGGCGGGAGGCCGTGTCCCGGTTGAGATCCGAGCTCGGGCCGGAATCCCGGGTGCGCTTGGCGAGCGCGTTCGTGGCCAAGGCATTGTTGAAAATCGAGCTCGCGAAAGACGGGAGGGCTTGCTACTTGGGGCAAGGGGTGAACATGCGGTCGAGGACAGTCCCGCCTCTCGGGAGCCACGCGTGCGGGAATTTCGTGTACCAGGCGGTGGTGCGGTGCATGGAGGCAGGCGGCGCTTGGGAGCCGGGGCTTGACGAGTTGGTCCGCGTGGTCGGGGGATCGATAGAGAAGGCGGTTGGGGAGTGTGGAAGGGTTATGTTGTTGGATGGGGAGAGACGCGTGGAGATGGTGAGAAGGCCGTTGGAGAAATTGTTTGAGATGGGGGCGCGTGGGGAGAATTTTGTGGCGATTTGGTTTACGGATTGGAGCAAGTTTGGGTTTTACGAAGCGGATTTCGGGTGGGGGAAGCCTGTTTGGGTGCGGGTGGGGAATGTGCGTACGGAGAATCTGACGATACTTATGGAGGATAGAGAGGGCGGGGGAATTGAGGCGTGGGTGCATCTAAGCCATGAGGACGTGCCTGCCTTTGAGAGTGATGATGATATCAAATTGTTCTTAGTTGCCTAGCGTGGAATTGGTACATAATTGGATTGGTGGAGTGAATTAATGTTTGGAGGATTTTTTTCATATACTTATTTGACATAAAAATAAATCTAGTCAAGAAATTAAGGTTAATTCATGGCTTCCTTTTCAATCAACCTTCACGGCTTTGGGCCCAATTTGGGTCATTATTTGTTCTCAAGTTGTGGGCCACATTTATTTTGAAAGTTTGCCAACATATGAAAAGGCTTTGGGCCTGATGTGACATTCAAATGGATAAAGACTTTGGGCCATTTGATATATAACAAGTTTATCAATTTGGGCTCTCTTGACCTTTTAAATCCATGTCATGTTTTCTCAAGCCCGATAAATGATGTCGCGACTAATTCACTCCAAGACACGTCGTCCGTGAACAAGTCTCAAGGGGGAATTTGTAGAGACATAAAATTTGTGGCCAATCAAATGGCGCCACGTGGAAATTAATTTATTAAAAATCAAGTCATATTTTCTATTTATATTTTAAGAATTTTCATATATTTAATTCATAAATTTAAATAGTTAATTAATTAATATTTTAATATTTTAATTCTTGATCAATCAAATAATGCCAAGTGTCAAATCTTATTTCTTGGTAAATAAATCATATCTTCTAGAATATCTTAGAAGATTTAAGTAGATCTAAAAGATCTTATGTGAATCATCATGGACTAATCAAATCGCGTCCTACGATTCTTAAATTTGGTAGGGTTCTCCCTCCTACACCTATAAATATGGACTCTCCTTAATGTCAAAAACACACATCATAATTCATATTCAAGTTCAAGAGCTCTAGACAATTCTCTCGACGAGATTCAAGTGTTCTTGAAGATTCGAAACAAGATTCAAGCGCGTTCAACGTCAAGACTGACGTTCAATCCGGAAACAAGCTGCAAAGCCTCCGAATAATGTTAGTAAATTCAAAATCGACGTGGAGAAGATTCAAGATCTAATTTGCGATGGAGACCAAGGATTCGTGTTCTTCGCGTTCTTGGAATATTTTGACGTTTGATCCGAAATCAAGGCGTTGGCCCACGGATAAACGTTAATTCAAGTCAAATCAAGTCAAGGAGAAGATCAAGCCGAAGATTTCGCTCCAAGACTTAAAATTGTTCGTGAGAAGAATCAGAGGAATAATAGAGATTGTAACCCGCTATATTATTTTGATTCGAGAAATTCATTTGAATAATATTTTTCGTGTTTATAAATTCAATACACGAAATTTGTTGTTATAGGGATATGTTCAATATTATGCATGTTTAGCATACGCACAACTGGATTTTCATCCAACAGATCACTTGAACACAAGTTGAAAAGCATACACATATTCGTACAAGTATTAATCTAACGGCTCAGATCCCAATATTCGCTACTAGACAGTGAGACTTCGATAACAAAAAATTGTATTGCAATAGGGCAGGTTGTTGTTACTGATAAACAACATAAACAAGTATATTCCATTACATTATTGGCTAGTGAAAACATGGGTGCTGATGTTCAGAGACGGATTTCGTTCCGTTGCTATCACTAACGGTTATTGTAACAAGCAATCCGTTCTAATATTTGAGAAATAGCAACCAAATAAGAAAGGAGACTATTTGTTCCTAATTATTCAGTAATAGCAACCAAACAAGAAATGAGACTATTTATTCCTAATTATCCAGTAATAGAAACCAAATAAGAAACAAGAATATTTGTTCCTAATTATTCATTAGTAGAAACCAAATTAAAAACGAGATCATCGTTTCGATGTCTCATTTCAGCTACCAAATTTGTAATGGATTGGTTCGTTCTTAATATCTTTATATTAGTGACAATTACAATATAATGGCATAATTTTCCATTTTTCATCCGATGCAGTTTTCAATAAATTTGTTTTGCACAAATGAACTCATTAATACCACTTACAATAAGCAAGCATGATTAAAGAAAAATAAGATAAAATACAATTATTTTATTTCATCAGTACAATAATAAAAATTTCAATTGATAAAACATCAAAGTGCAATTAATACAAACTACCAATTATTTTATATCCTCAAACAAAATAGGAACTAATATTTTTAACATTTCAGCATGATCTCCATTAGAACTCGTTGAGCCTTCTCTTGTAGTTGTGCCGCTGAGATGAAATAATAATATATTGGCAGCTTATTCAAGTCAATATATAATAATGATTCCTGTGTCGCTGAGATGGACCCGTCATATGTTGCTAGCTTATTCAAGTCTAGCTGAAATATCGATGCCTCCTCCCGTCATATGTTGGTAGCTTATTCTTGTGTCTGTATAAAATAAACAAATTATTCATCATATCATATATTGGTGAAAAGTAAAAAAAATTGCACTTACAGTCATATTTATTTTCCCATCAACTATTCCAAAAAAATTACCAATCTCGCCATACAAGGGATTTAAGATTTTTGGGAACTCTGTCTGATAATTCAAATCCAATCCTATTTTTGGAGAGTTTACTCGTAATGCTAAATTGTAATTCCCCATGGAAGTATGCTGCTAGATTTCACTGCCAAATTTTAATTCCCGTAATTGGCGATGGATATGCCGAAGTATGAGTGTTCAGTAGTCTTCAGTTAATAGGATGACTTTAAACGCAGTGAGTGGTCAATTAATGTGATATATGAGTTTAAACGCAGTGAGGGTCAGTTAATATGATATATATATATATATATATATCATATTAACAATATATATATCATATATATATATATATATACATATGAGTTTAAACGCAGTGAGTGGTCAATTAATAGCATACAATATTTCAATTTATTTAGTATCATATTTACAATATTTTAATATTGTTAATATAATTGTAAATTATATAAGGAAATACAAACCAAAACAAAGATGCTACAAGAAAATGGTTATCATATAGTTGGCCGACACATAGGATTAAAATATATATTAGTCCATAGATATAAGTTGCAGAAAAAACTAAATCATTAACTAAAAGATCTAAAAAAACCAAATATTCAAATTAGAAAAATTGCAAATAAAATTAAATCTTTAACTAATATATATATATATATATATATATATATATATATATATATATATAGGGAGTGGTTCAAATAAAAACTAGTCCTGGTGTGAGAACCGTGAGAACCGTATTTGATGCTATTTTTTATTGTGTATGATGCTATTTTCAATATTACATGGTGCTATCATTTTCACATATGCAAATATAAATTGTGTTGTTATTTTTAAGAAAATAGATCCATTTTGAAAATAGCACTAAAACACAATCAATCATAGCACTGCGTACAACTATAAATAGCGGTTCTTATCGTTCTCACGCTAGGACTTAGTTCTCATTTGAACCAAATACTATATTATATATACAACTATATATATATATATATATATACGAAATATTTAATTTGCAAATTGAAATTTTAAATATTTGGTTAGCCGAAGGATGAGCGGCGGAGGGTTGTCCACTGGGAAGCCCGATCAGCCGCTGAAGGAGGCACAAATCGGAGACGACAAAGATGAGGGTTACGGGAGGATTTGGGGGAATTTTTTGGTTAGAGAGAGAAAGGTAAGTTATCTTGGTATGCTCATCTCTATCCAAGTGGAAAGTAGTCATGTTTTGAAATTCTGATCCCATTTCTGGTCCAGAATTTAATACAACCGCTACAACTTTTTAATATATCTTCCCAAAAGCAAAATTTTAATATTGCTAAAAGACTATAAAAGATTGCAGTTTTTTGGAACAAATGACATATACATTGCTGGGTAAGACTAGAACTGTAAACAAGCTGAAGCGAGCTCTAATCAAGTTGATAAACGTGCCCGTTTGTCAAAATTAATGGATTGAACATAAGTCGTAACGAGCTTAGCTAAGGTAATAGTTCTAAAAATTACGTAACAACTATATACGAGCCCGACAAGCCTAGCTCGAATTGTTAACAAAGCAAGTTCGAGTTCGCTCATTTGATAGTTTAACTTGACTTAACAAGCCGAGCCCTTAGGTAGCTCGGTTAATACTAAAGCAATAAAAAAATCACCCTAATTAAGTACCTCTGCTGCTATTGGAATTTTCAGTTTAAATGATGCCAAAAGTTCGATTTCCATTTACATATTTAAGACACTGCTAAAAAACATAGAAACACGCAGAAGTGAATGAAAATACTTCAGACACCTAGTTGCACTGACATAACAGGCAAAGCATTACACTCATACAACCTAAACCAGTGAATTCAGATAAATATAAATCCTTGCTTGCAATACCGACGAGCCATTTTGTACTGAAGGTGGACTCGTTTTGCATATTATGACAAGAGTGCGTTCATGGCCAGAAATATTAGAAACAACCGGTAGACCAATGCTTATGATAAACCCTGACTTATAACATACGTCCACGCGAACAGGATTGCATAATAATATTAAAACCGCAACTCATGTGAATCGAAAAGAAAAATATGAGCACAATATCATGCAGGTCAATCGAATCACAGAGAGACACTATATTGCTTACTTCATAAAACAATGACCAAATGAAAGCATTAAACTCCAACGCCTTATCCAAACTACCTACAAGAAATGAAACTACAAAAATTACAGTTTCATTCTTTCGGTTTGAGTCACTTAAACAAAGATCTAGGAAAACTAAATATTCCATAGAGAAAAATTCCAAATGAAATTATATCTTTACAAAGATGTAGAAAAACTAAATAATTCGAATAAAAAATATAGGTACCAAACTAAAAGTTGTTTGTAGCATTTTTTGGGCATGTGGTAACCGAGCTACCCGACTCGGGTCGTTCTCAAAGGAAGGTTGTTCGGAGCTTGTTCACTACTTAGTTGTCAAAATCACATTCTACCCGCTTGATGGGATTTGATCACACGAAATTGAACTAAGAATCTAAGAGAAAATGATGAAAAAAATGCACATATAGAGAGAGATCGGTTTATTGGGTTTTTCTAGTGTTTTTAGGTGTTGATTCTCCTGTTGGGAGTCGATTATTAAT